AAGCTGAGCAGAATTTACAATGAGAAGCATTTTAGATCTGCGTTTCCAAACGCAGCAAGAGTTCTATCTTTTCCTTTTACTCTGCATTTGTCCACATTTTACCAAATCACGTATGCCATTTGACTGAATAAAAATGCCATAATTTTGGTACTGAAGCCAAATTAACCTTAGCCTGTGGAGTAAAATTGTACTTGTTAGGAAAGCTCAGGGTTTAGCTTTAATTTATCAATAAATGACAGGCATGGTCAATCACAGTGCAAAAAAAATTCTAGGCACACCAGAGAAGGAACAAAAGTAAACTCAAATGTATTCAGGGATTGCTCTTATGACAATTCGGCATGAATGTTTAATTCAGAGGTGCTGTAGCCTTTGTCTTCCTGTTTTATCATTTTGGGGACTGTTTGTTTTCCAGCTAAACAGGGTCAAAATGGTGGAGAAGGAGAAGACTGCTCTGGAGGGAGAGAAGAACACAGCCGTAGAGTTCCTCACTCTGGAGAATGATATCTTCAAACAAAAGAGCCAGCTCTGCCAGTACTATGTGTGAGTACTACAACCACACAGTGTTGCCATATTTAGTGTTTTTTACTAACAAGAAATCAGGTTAGAAAGAATCTGGGAGGAAGGGTTGATGCAGTTAACGCAGATGGTAACTTTTTAGAATTCATATGTCCTTGTTGACCAGAGTGTGATTGTTTCTTTGTTGTCAGCCATGATCTCCAGAAGAGAGTGGCAAACAAAGAAGAGGAGAAGCAGAGGATCCAAGACGACACCAAAGAGCTCACAGAGAAAAACAACAACATCGCTGAGAAAATGGAGAAGAAGAACCAAGACCTGAAAAACGTGGAGAAGTAGGCTTTTCATTTTTTATTTATGTTATTCATGGCAATTGATACCAAAAGGACAAATTGATGAACAAAATATAGTCCTAATGTAAAATGAATGTCAGTCTTCAGTGCAATAATGTTATGAAATGGAGATTGTTCATAGACCTGCTGGCGACCAGCGATACAGAAAAGCAAAATTAGCAGTAATTTGTTTGATTGCCATTCATAATGTCAATGTTGTGTGATTTTTCTCTCAGGAAACAAGGCAAGCTGACCAAGTACATTGAGGGCCAGAAGGAGAAGTTTACCCAGCTGGACCTGCAGGATGTGGAGGTCCGAGAGAAACTGAAGCACACCAAGAGTAAGATCAAGAAACTACAGAAACAACTGGAGAAGGACAAGGAGAAGGTGTGTGTTTAGGTGTGCATGTGTCCCTTTTGCTGTGAACATAATTCAGGTCTCTGTAATCGAGGCTTCAGTGATTCCATTTCGGGGGTATCATATTGGGCAATCTCTGTGTGTACAGGTGTAGCTCATGGCGGCTCTCCAAATCTATACGTTAGGAGGCTGTGATTGTGGCGAATGTGCTACATAACTTACCGGTCGTACTCATAAACAAACACAATGGTGCTCTGTCCTCTCAAGACAGGCCAGCACCAATGACCTGACACTTCACTTTTATTCTGTTGATTTTGTCCCCTGGCCAAAGCGAAACACGGCCACTCGTAATACAATTTCCCTCCCTATACAAACACAAGGCCTGTTGTACTGAGACCCGGAGAAGGCATTGCTCAGGGATTTACAGATGACCTTATTAGTAATTGCCGTATTGCGTAATTAGACACATTTCATATTTACTTGTATCAATGTCACAAATAAACAAGTGTGTTCATTTTTATTACAGTAACTTGCTTGGGATTGGCTCTGGGTGGGTGAGGGTGTGTATCCCACTTTTGAATAGATTTTAAAAATATATATTCTGTGTCATGAGGTCCCTCTTGAATTTTTTTTTTTTTATTGTTACATTGCTGAGACTAAAATGGATTGATAAAGTGGCTGGTATACCTGATTATTTAATAAGAGAAACTCCTCCAGTTAGCCACTAGGGTGTTGAACTCAAACACAAACCCTCCAAAGCTTGGCTCTCTGCTGCCTCTCACTCGCTTTCTCCCATGCTCTCTTCTCTCTCTTCCATGGGCTCCCTTTTCTCTCTCTCCCCACTCACACATTCAATATGCTCGAAGTCTGTCTTCCTTTCTCTCCCCCTGTTCTGCTGCCTGTATGATACAGCACCAGTGGCTGTGATTTGGCAGTGTGGTGTTGGGTTGTGGAGGCCGGGTAGAGCAGAGCAGGCCTCTGGGGAGCCGTGTTCTGCAGTGTGGTAGTGAAGTATGGCCTTGTGTAACACTACCAGCAGCCACATTCACTCTTCACCCACAGTTAACCCTGCTAGCTTGGCCGCCTCCACTCCCTCTTACCACCCTGCCCACTGGAGAGAGGTGCAGTTCACATACTGCCTGCCAGTCTGATGGAGGTGCTCCTTGGTCTTTCCTGGTTTTCTAAGGTTGTACCTCACCTAGAGTCTCATCTCTCCTCTCTCTCAGCTGGAGGAGGTGCGTAACGTGCCGGCCAGCAGTGAAAAGACCATCTCTGAGGCGTCCGCTCGCAGGGAGGAGTTGGAGAAACAGAAGGGGAAGGAGGAGGAGAAACTGAAGGAAGTGATGGAGAGTCTGAAGGAGGAGACCAGTGGCCTGCAGCAGGAGAAGGAGGTGGGTGTCTTTCATTATCAGGAATTGCTGATTCATTTGAAGTAGGAAACACTATTCCTGATTAATTGAATTTGACCGGTATCTTCTCCCCCTGGTATTCTATGTTTTCTGATCACATAATAGAGTGTCTATTATTCCCATGACTCCGTCCCCAGACTAAGGAGAAGGAGCTGATGGAGCTGAGTAAGGCCGTGAACGAGACCCGCTCCCGTCAGGACGTGGCCCAGTCTGAGCTGGACATCTACCTGAGTCGCCACAACACCGCTCTGACCCAGCTGAACATGGCCAAGCAGTCCCTGCAGACCACCTCCGACACGCTGAGAGACCGCCGCGCCGCCATCGAAGAGCTGCAGGTCAAAATACCCCAGTGTGAGCAGGAGCTCAAGAAGGTATGTTGGTGTGTCTGTGGGAGGGTCTCAAGCGTCGAGCTGTTCTTAAGGTTAGGGGTGGACTATGGGATTTGTAGCAGTATGATGGATGTATTTCAGGTGTGTGGATGACCGTGTGCTGCCCTTGCTGACCATGTATCTCTATCTGCTTCAGGATGAGGCGGAGCTGGAGCAGCTGCTGCAAGCAGACGGTCAGGCCAGGGAGCTGGTGAAGGACATGAGGCAGAAGGTGGAGGAGGCCAAGAGCTCCCTGTCCTCTAACCGCAGCCGGGGGAAGGTGCTGGACGCCCTCATGCAGCAGAAGAGGAGCGGCAAGATCCCTGGCATCCTGGGACGACTGGTGAGGACCATGTGCATGTATAGACTACACCAGGGGTGTCAACCTCATTCCATGGAGGGCCTAGTGTCTGCTGGTTTTGGTTTTTCCTTTCAATTAAGACCTAGACCTGTGGTTCCCAAACTGTGGGGTGCGAGGGGTCTGCAGGGGGGGGGCGCGGGGGTCCGGCTTTCAACCTACTCTTAAAAGTTGTAATGGTAGAATGCACAAGGTGCAATTTCGAAATTGGGTAGTACATCATCGGTTTTCCTCTTGTCATTGCATACCTTAGAGTTATTTATAACTTGTCAGAAATGTCCAGATCAACTAGCTCATGTCAGCTAATGTATTTTAGCTAGATGTTTTAGACCATAGATTTTGTTGTAACGTTTGTCACTCAAATATCACGACTAAACATTAGAACATTTGCTTTAAAATGGCCACATTTTCTCTGCACTGCATGACAATGTGTAGAATTGCAGGAAATAAGCTTTAAACCTGCAAAAGGTTTTCTCCGCCAACAAGAGGGGTGTGAACAGTTTGTGGCATGAGAAGTGCTCATAGAAATAGACGTGGCGTGCCAGCGCGGGATTTTCCCCAATGCTGGAAGGGGGGCCTGAGTGAAAAAGTTTAGGAACCCCTGACCTAGACAACCAGTTGCTTTAATTAATCAATCAAGTACAAGGGAGGAGCAAAAACCCGCAGACACTAGGCCCTCTGTGGAATTAGTTTGACACATGGGCTACACAGATGACATGTGGCAGCTGAGAGATGCACACACTCAGTGAGACTGTGTTCTTGTCCCTACAGGGTGACCTTGGGGCCATTGATGAGAAGTATGACATCGCCATCTCGTCCAGCTGTGGCTCTCTGGACAACATCCTGGTGGACAGCATCGACACAGCCCAGAAATGTGTCAACTTCCTCAAGGCCCAGAATATCGGTGTGGCCACCTTTATCGGCCTGGACAAGGTGAGGACAACTCCAACACCTGGGGCCTCATTTATCAATATTACGTAGAAACTATACACATAGTGTAATTTATCAAACAATCCTACAAGCATCATACCCACACCGGTAGGAAAGAACCACTGATAAATACCAATTGTTCTCAGTGTTCGTGCAAGACCTTGGCTATTTGCATTTCGAAAAGCCCATAATTAACCATATATGATCAAAATCATCCCTTCAAAGCCTGTGGGAAATATACAATGCCGTACCTTAAAACACAACGGTGCAACCAAAAAAAAGCTACAATTTATATTTTTCTGAGACTGAAATGGAGGTGCTAGTGTCAGTTTGAGTACAACCAAAAGGTTTTATTTGGCTCGTTCAGTTGTGGCTTGACCAGTAAAAATAAAAACATTGCTACAAAGAGAGGACCATTAGGACACTTGAAGTTGCTTTAGCAATGGCAAATATAGGCAACACTCACCAATATGCCATCCATCCTTAACAGCTCCCTCCTGTAGGTGTTTAGACCAACATTTCTGTTCTGCAGAATGAACGAGTCGTGCGTTCCACTTGCCACCGCATTCAGCAGCGTCTTTTGCGCATCACATAACCTATTAACTACACATTAAGAGTGGAAACCTTCTCTTCACATAGTTGAAATCATTTTGGGATGGTTATTTTATGGCGGTGGGTGCCGTCTATTGCTCCTTTTGTATTTGGGAACCCATTGATGGATCATGTCAAAGAAACCCCTCTTGACTTCAGACTCTTGTGCGATGGTGTATGGAAATTGTATGCCTTACTGTTTGTTTTGCTGACGATTGCATCCAAAACATGGGCTCATCAAGGGCTGTGAGATGCCGCTTGGCAAGCTCCCGTTGAAAAGTGCCCGTTGCCAAAACCCTGAGGGTGGATAGTACTTGGATGTGCACCGGAATGGCATGCTTTTGCCTTTTCAAGCAGGTCTCAAATCCTCGCCAAAAAATTGGTTTTGGGAAACAATATCTGATGAGCCAATCTGTACTGTCAAAAAAATGTTTTGTCCCACCTGTCTCTAAAAACACGCTCTGCGAAATACAGCCTGTGACTCTCATTGCATTTCCCGTTCTGTCTTTTATAGTATTTAAACAATGGTTTCAATTTCACACATGCCTCTAATTTAACAAATTACGGTACTTTATATGGATTATTATCATAACAAATGCACTGATGTGGTCATATTATATGATATAGCTAGCCTGTCAAGATATGTTGCATGAATTCACAATAGAAATACAATTAAATTGAAAAATGATTGAATTATTACTTACATTTTCAACATATATTTTCCCCATTCTACGCTTGACAAGCAGTTCCCTTAATCCATCACTTGGCACTGTGCGTACCCATGGTCTCACCATGCGTACCCATGGTAAATGGTAAATTTAGACACTCAAGCAAACGTTCATATTGATAAATCTCACACTTTGTGTAGAAATGATCCCACGCATGGTTTACGCACAGATTTGTGCCTACGCATGGTTGATAAATTAAATTAGGTTTAACACTGGTCACGCTTAACCTCGCTCGCAGAAATTACTATGTTGCAGGCTACACTTTGTCAGTTCTAGAAAATGATCTGGCTCAATTTGAGCTTTGCTACAGTGAACCCCAGCCTAACTTCACTAGGCATTCTCTCTCTAATGGGTTTGCTGCAGAGACAACTGGTACAAAGCCTTTACACTCAAATAGAACACCCTACAAGATGTATTATGTTGTTGCCGCAAGCCCATTTGTATGTCCCACATTGTAGCTAACACTGACATCCACTCTCTTCCTGTCTCAGATGAAGGTGTGGGAGAATAAGATGGGGCCCATCTCCACCCCAGAGAACATCCCCCGTCTGTTTGACATGGTGCGGGTGCAGGACGAGAGTATGAAGCCAGCCTTCTACTTTGCCCTGAGGGACACCCTGGTGGCCAAGGATCTGGAGCAGGCAACACGCCTCGCCTTCCAGAAGGACAAGCGCTGGAGGGTAGTCACCATGCAGGGACAGATCATAGAGATGGCTGGTGGGTAGACCGAGCGGTAGCTCATCTCTTCCCAGTGTCTCTCTATAGATGGTCTATATGGATGACATGTCTGACACTATGCTCTGTCCCATACCAGGCACCATGACTGGAGGCGGAGGGAGAGTGATGCGGGGTAGGATGGGCACCTCCATCGGCACCGAGGTCACCCAGCAGGAGGTGAGAGATCTTCTGGACACTCCTCAAGAGCTTTCTCTGGCCTACAATCACTGATATGGCTCACTTTAAGCTCTGCTGTGGTTAATAACCTACTGTCTTCTTTTTGTGTGTCAGCTGGACCGTATGGAGAGCAAGCTGAATGAGAAGGTGGTGCAGCTGCAGGTCTGCCAGGAGAGGAAGCTGCAGCTTGAGGAGAAAGTCCAAAGACTCAGACAGCAGCTCAGAGACATGAAGAACACCCTGGAGAAATACACCAACAGCATGCAGGTTACACACACACACACACACACAGAGTATACAGATGTGAAATGTATTCGATATTGGTGTAATTCTTGTTCATTAGACTTGTTTAGGCAAAGCTGAATGTATGTGAGGCTGGCAGTGTTGTAGTCGAGCAACTAAACATCTGAGTCGAGTCACGAGTCCCTATGGCTGAGTCCGAGTCACAAGTCCCTATGGCTGAAGTCATTTTTAATACATAATGTTTACTTTGCAGTTCGTTGGTTCCGGTCTTCTCTATTTTTCTGTTACATATTTGACATTGTGCCACTCGTTGCACCATCTGCGGAAAAACTTTGGAAAGCAAAACTAATGATTTGGATGTATTTGGTATTTTGGTTACTGAGTGTTTTGCTTGCTCGTACTGCTGGCTTGCTTCTCGTCTTGCTAGATTCGCCCCTCTATTGATTTGGCTCGGATTTGGTAGAAGAAATGTGCCCACCAACAACTATTGGCGGACTGGCGGGAAGATTTTCATGTGAAGTAACGCAAAGATGTCTACTGTTGCCCAATGGTCATAATTGCCTGCAATATGCAATAGCCTATGAAACACAGAAGTCTTTCATACACAGGCTCACACACATTTTATTTGAATATAGGCCTAATGTTCAATAGTTACAGTACCAGTCAAAAGTTTGGACACACCTACTCATTCAAGGATTTTTCTTTATTTTTTACTATTTTCTACATTGTAGAATAATAGTGAAGACATCAAAACTATGAAATAACACATATGGAATCATGTAGTAACCAAAAAAGTGTTAAACAAATCCAAATATATTTTATATTTGAGATTCTTCAAATAGCCACCCATTGATGACAGCTTTGTACACTCTTGGTATTCTCTCAACCAGCTTCATGAGGTAGTCACCTGGAATGAATTTCAATTAACAGGTGTGCCATGTTAAAAGTTTATTTGTGGAATTTCTTTCCTTAATGCGTTTGAGCCAATCAGTTGTGTTGTGAAAAGGTAGGGGGTTATACAGAAGATAGCCCTATTTGGTAAAAGACTAAGTCCATATTATGGCATGAACAGCTCAAATAAGCAAAGAGAAACAAGTCCATCATTACTTTAAGACATGAAGGTCAGTCAATACGGAAAATGTCAAAAACTTCAAAAGTTTCTTCCAAGTGCAGTCGCAAAAACCATCCAGCGCTACGATGAAACTGGCTCTCATGAGGACCGCCACAGGAATGGAAGACCCAGAGTTACCTCTGCTGCAGAGGATAAGTTCATTAGAGTTACCGGCCTCAAATTGCAGCCCAAATAAATGCTTCGCAGAGTTCAAGTAACAGACACATCAATTGTTCAGAGGGGACTGTATGAATCAGGCCTTCATGGTCAAATTGCTGCAAAGAAACCACTACTAAAGGACACCAATAAGAAGAAGAGACCTGCTTGGGCCAAGAAACACGAGCAATTGACATTAGATCGGTGGAAAATTGTCCTTTGGTCTGGTGTCCAAATTGGAGAGTTTTGGTTCCAACCGCTGTGTCTTTGTGAGACGCGGTGTGGGTGAACGGATGATCTCCGCATGTGTATTTCCCACCGTTAACACCTCCTCCTCCATGCTTATGTTGTGGGGGTGCTTTGCTGGTGACACTGTCTGTGATTTATTTAGAATTCAAGGCACACTTAACCAGCATGGCTACCACATCATTCTGCAGCGATACTCCATCGCATCTGGTTTGGGCTTAGTGGGACTGTCATTTGTTTTTTAACAGGACAATGACCCAACACACCTCCAGGCTGTGTAAGTGCTATTTTACCAAGGAGAGTGATGGAGTGCTGCATCAGATGACCTGGCCGCCACAATCCCCTGACTTCAACCCAATTGAGATGGTTTGGGATGAGTTGGACCGCAGAGAGTGAAGGAAAAGCAGCCAACAAGTGCTCAGCATATGTGGGAGCTCCTTTAAGACTGTTGGAAAAGCATTCCAGGTGAAGCTGGTTGAGAGAATGCCAAGAGTGTGCAAAGCTGTCATCAAGGTAAAGGGTGGCTATTTGAAGAATCTCAAATATAAAATATATTTTGATTTGTTTAACACTTTTTTTGTTTACTACATGATTCAATATGTGTTTATTATTCTACAATGTAAAAATAAAGAACAACCCTTGAATGAGTAGGTGTCCAAACTTTTGACTGTTAGTGTATGGCAAATCAGTAATTGTTTTGAAGGGGTAAATGGTCTCTAGATGGAATTGGCAATTGCTCCTGTCAGATTGACCAGATTGCAATAATTGTAACAGGCGCTCAGGTACTTTTTTGTAATTGCCCTCTGATACTTTTGTAGGTTTTTTATTGCAGAGTGAAAAGTAAAGGGAGACTTGTCAGAACCTGGCCATGGGATGCAGGGGGGAAAGACTGTTTTTTACTTTTAAACTCAATACTATTGTTTTCATTTTCGTAAAGAAGTTTGTTTCTTAAACAGGCAAGCTAAATAGTAGGCTGGTGACTGGTGGTTACAGGGAAGCAAGAGTCACTTGCGCAATGTGTAGCCTGCCTGTCGCCCACACTCATCGCTTGCTCCCCCGCAGTTCACCAGCTGATGTAGGTTGTGTGTGCCGGTGTGGTGCGTCCTTCCAACTGATAGAGAACCGAACTCTTGCTGTTCTGTGCACCAAGTGCTGCTAATATTCTGCCTGTCGAGTCCACGTGCAAATACAAGTCACGGGAAGGCGAGTCCAAGTCAGAAGTCATGAAAATCTGGACTTGAGTCAGAGTCCTGGATTAGAGTACTACAACACTGGAGGCTGGTGATTGCAGGTGAGGCTGTGGTTGACCGTGTGTGTTTCTTCGCTCAGAGCTTGGCAGAGCAGGAGGCTCACCTGAAGCCTCAGATTAAAGAGCTGGAGGCCAATGTCCTGGCTGCTGCTCCCGACAAGAACAAACAGAAACAGTTGGAGAAGAGCCTGAAGGACTTCCAGAAAGGTGAGACCTTTGAACCCCAAATGTAACTTTATGAAGGGAAGTTACTTAGAAATTGCAGGCTACACTCTGTGTCAGTTCTAGTCTTCAGGACAATGATCTGGCTCAATTTGAGCTTTGCTACAGTAAACTCCAGTCTGACTCCACTAGGCATTCTCTCTCATGGGCTTGCTGCGGAGACAACTGGTACATACAACTAGGGGTGTGCTGATCTCATCATACTTGTAATCTTATCAGTTTTATCATACTTGATACTCATAATCGTATTTACTTGTGATCGGAAAACCCGGAAGTCAATCAATCAATCAATTTTATTTTATATAGCCCTTCGTACATCAGCTAATATCTCGAAGTGCTGTACAGAAACCCAGCCTAAAACCCCAAACAGCTAGTAATGCAGGTGTAGAAGCACGGTGGCTAGGAAAAACTCCCTAGAAAGGCCAAAACCTAGGAAGAAACCTAGAGAGGAACCAGGCTATGAGGGGTGGCCAGTCCTCTTCTGGCTGTGCCGGGTGGAGATTATAACAGAACCATGTCAAGATGTTCAAAAATGTTCATAAGTGACAAGCATGGTCAAATAATAATCAGGAATAAATCTCTGTTGGCTTTTCATAGCCGATCATTAAGAGTTGAAAACAGCAGGTCTGGGACAGGTAGGGGTTCCATAACCGCAGGCAGAACAGTTGAAACTGGAATAGCAGCAAGGCCAGGCGGACTGGGGACAGCAAGGAGTCACCACGGCCGGTAGTCCCGACGTATGGTCCTAGGGCTCAGGTCTCTCAGTTGGCTTTTCATAGCCGATCATTAAGAGTTGAAAACAGCAGGTCTGGGACAGGTAGGGGTTTCGTAACCGCAGGCAGAACAGTTGAAACTGGAATAGCAGCAAGGCCAGGCGGACTGGGGACAGCAAGGTGTCAGCATGCCCGGTAGTCCTGACGTATGGTCCTAGGGCTCAGGTTCTCAGAGAGAAAGAGAGAACGAGAGAATTAGAGAGAGCATACTTAAATTCACACAGGACACTGGATAAGACAGGAGAAGTACTCCAGGTATAACCAACTAACCCCAGCCCCCCGACACAAACTACTGCAGCATAAATACTGGAGGCTGAGACAGGAGCGGTCCGGAGACACTGTGGCCCCATCCGAAGAAACCCCCGGACAGGGCCAAACAGGAAGGATATAACCCCACCCACTCTGCCAAAGCACAGCCCCCGCACCACTAGAGGGATATCCTCAACCACCAACTTACAATCCTGAGACAAGGCCGAGTATAGCCCACAGAGGTCTCCACCACAGCACAAACCAAGGGGGGGCGCCAACCCAGACAGGAAGATCACGTCAGTAACTCAACCCACTCAAGTGACGCACCCCTCCTAGGGACGGCATGAAAGAGCACCAGCAAGCCAGTGACTCAGCCCCTGTAACAGGGTTAGAGGCAGAGAACCCCAGTGGAGAGAGGGGAACCGGCCTGGCAGAGACAGCAAGGGCTGTTCGTTGCTCCAGAGCCTTTCCGTTCACCTTCACACTCCTGGGCCAGACTACACTCAATCATATGACCTACTGAAGAGATAAGTCTTCAGTAAAGACTTAAAGGTTGAGACCGAGTCTGCGTCTCTCACATGGGTAGGCAGACTGTTCCATAAAAATGGAGATCTATAGGAGAAAGCCCTGCCTCCCGCTGTTTGCTTAGAAATTCTAGGGACAATTAGGAGGCCTGCGTCTTGTGACCGTAGCGTACGTATTGGTATGTACGGCAGGACCAACTCGGAAAGATAGGTAGGAGCAAGCCCATGTAACGCTTTATAGGTTAACAGTAAAACCTTGAAATCAGCCCTTGCCTTAACAGGAAGCCAGTGTAGGGAAGCTAGCACTGGAGTAATATGATCAAATTTCTTGGTTCTAGTCAGGATTCTAGCAGCCGTATTTAGCACTAACTGAAGTTTATTTAGTGCTTTATCCGGGTAGCCGGAAAGTAGAGCATTGCAGTAGTCTAACCTAGAAGTAACAAATGCATGGATTAATTTTTCTGCATCATTTTTGGACAGAAAATTTCTGATTTTTGCAATGTTACGTAGATGGAAAAAAGCTGTCCTTGAAACAGTCTTGATATGTTCGTCAAAAGAGAGATCAGGGTCAAGAGTAACGCCGAGGTCCTTCACAGTTTTATTTGAGACGACTTTACAACCATCAAGATGAATTGTCAGATTTAACAGAAGATCTCTTTGTTTCTTGGGACCTAGAACAAGCATCTCTGTTTTGTCCGAGTTTAAAAGTAGAAAGTTTTCAGCCATCCACTTCCTTATGTCTGAAACACAGGCTTCTAGCGAGGGCAATTTTGGGGCTTCACCATGTTTCATTGAAATGTACAGCTGTGTGTCATCCGCATAGCAGTGAAAGTTAACATTATGTTTTCGAATAACATCCCCAAGAGGTAAAATATATAGTGAAAACAATAGTGGTCCTAAAATGGCACCTTGAGGAACACCGAAATGTACAGTTGATTTGTCGGAGGACAGACCATTCACAGAGACAAACTGATATCTTTCCGACAGGTAAGATCTAAACCAGGCCAGAACTTGTCCGTGTAGACCAATTTGGGTTTCCAGTCTCTCCAAAAGAATGTGGTGATCGATGGTGTCAAAGGAAGTGTGCTTTAAATGCCGGTAAAGCCTATACCTTAAGTGCACTATCACTCAGAGTGCATCGCTATGCTCCTTCACTCATTCACATATTGTTCAAATCAAAGAAATGATCTCAACAGCTGAAAATGCACATGATTTACTTACTTAGTCCTATTAAATTATCAATGAAATAGGCTAATAAATAATGTATGACTGGCTACTGCTGCCTGCATTTATTCCAGACACAGATTTAGGTAATTTGCTTGCCCCATATATTGTTTCACTTTCGAAGAGTGCAAAACTTTTCTCTCCTGACACTTACAGCTCAACCTACACCCCGCCCATTTCTTTACAGACAGCCGAACTTGCCAACTGAGTTATTTAGAGTGCACAGCGCTTCACACTTTCAATAGTGTGCAACCCACAATTCCCATTGGTTCATTCATGTACAACCCGTCCCTGCCTGTTGTTCATCAGTAGACTGTCTGTGGGAAAACGGTCTGCTAGCACAGCAGGCGGGAGCGACAGTGTGCTAACTTGCTAGTTAGCAACACCGTGTGCTAGCTTGCTTGTTAGCATGCTGTATACCGGAGTACTCCTTAGGACTAGCAGGCACAGTGTCATTCGTGCCCTCCTGCCAAACTATACTGGAGCGCCCCTGCCTCCTGCCTATGTACTGGAGTCATAGTTTTAAAATGGACCAATAGAAGTATAAAGAGGGATTCCTGCAGAGTGACAGTGAGATGCGTTCTGGCAGCTGAAAATTACTTTTCCCCGATCACGGATAATTACAAACAAAAAAATCGTATTCGGAAGATTCTCTATCCGTTACGATACTGGTTTTGTCAGAGTACTCGGCACACCCCTAATACACAGTTGCCCCCACTTGACCTTTGAGGCTTAACACCCACTCCTGTCTCACGTATAAAAAAATGTATCTTTCCCTCCTCTCTCTCTGTCAGACTTTGAGGCAGCCTCCAGTAAGGCAGGGAAGGTGGAGGCTGAGGTGAAGAGGCTCCACACCCTCATCGTGGACATCAACAGCCACAAGCTGAAGGCCCAGCAGGACAAACTGGACAAGGTCAACAAGGAGCTGGACGACTGCTCCTCAGCCATCACCAAGGCCCAGGTGGCCATCAAGACCGCAGGGCGGTAAGTGTTTATACACGTGTGCACACATTCAGCTACCATCTGGCAAAGGCTTCTGGTTGTGAATTTATTAGCTGGGACTTATCTGAGCTTTTCCCTAATGGCTGCTGCTCCCCTCCCTCCCCACAGTAACCTGAAGAAGTGTGAAGAGGGTGTAAGTCGCCTGGAGGGAGAGCTGGAGGAGAATGAGAAGAGCCTAGGAGAGCTGATGGAGCATCTGAAGAGGCTAGAGGAGGAGGCTGGGGAGATCATGAAGGCCTGCCAGGAGGCTGAGGCGGCACTGCCGGAGGTACAGGAGCAGCACCAGGGGGTGGTGAGGGAGATCAAGGCCCTGCAGGAGCAGGAGCACGCTCTACAGGAGGAGTCTCTCAGCGTACGCCTCCGGGTGGAGCAGATAGACACCTCCATCACCGAACACACCAACAAGATCAAACACTGGCAGAGAGAGGTGGGTGGCAGGGCTTTGTGTTTTGTGTGAGATTCACACATGCTTTGTTGTTACCCTGTTGGTTTGGTGTGTGTCTAGAGGTCTACCAAACAGTCTGCTAGTTGCAGTGCATCATTTTTTACATTTTAGTCATTTTTAGCAGACGCTCTTATCCAGAGCGACTTACAGGAGCAATTAGGGTTAAGTGCCTTGCTCAAGGGCACATCGACAGATTTTTCACCTAGTCGGCTCGGGTATTAGAACCAGCGACCTTTCGGTTACTGGCACAACGCTCTTACCCACTAAGCTACCTGCCGCCCATCAGCTAGTTGCATTACCTGGGGAACAGTATCATCTGACAGACAGACCCATATTTTTCCTCCTCTCTTCTCTGCTATTTACATTTGTCATTTAGCAGATGCTCTCATCCAGAGCGACTTAGTTATTCCATTCATCTTAAGATAGCTAGGTGGGACAACCACATATCAGTCATAGTAAGTACATTTTCCCTCAAAGTAGCTAGGACTGACCAGCTGTGTCCTGTCCTACACAGGCCTCTAAGCTCTCCCTTCATGCCATTGAGGACAAACCAGCGGAGGCGCTGCCCGTGCTGACCCTTGCTGACCTGGCGGCCATCAAGGGGCCTGACGTCATCACCAACCAAATCTCCCTGCTGGAGGCCCGCTGTGCACAGATGAAGCCCAACCTGGGAGCCATCGCAGAGTACAAGAAGAAGGTACACACCCAGCTCTCTCTAGGTCTAACCAAGCACCTTGACACACAGTTTTTACTCTTCTTGTCTGCTCTCTCAAGTTTCTTTCCCTCTAAGAGAAGGTCATCATTGGGTCATTTCTCTCTGTAGGAGGAACTGTACCTGAAGCGTGTGGCTGAGCTGGATGAGATCACCACAGAGCGAGACAACTTCAAGCGCGGCTGTGAGGACCTGCGCAAACAGAGGCTCAACGAGTTCATGGCTGGCTTCAACATCATCACCAACAAGCTGAAGGAGAACTACCAGATGCTGACACTAGGGGGTGATGCTGAGCTGGAGCTAGTCGACAGCCTGGACCCCTTCTCTGAGGGCATCATGTTCAGGTCAGCAGACACTGGCCCAGCTGGCTGTTTTTGACATTTTTGTATCCATGATTTGTGAAGATGGGTCTTTCAATCATTTGATTTTTGGACTTCTTTGTACATAATTAAAATTGACCTAGCCCCAACCTGGTTTCCCCTTTCTCTTCATTTCATTGTTGTATTCAATAAATCTATGAATGACTCTTACTCATCATCTTCTCTCTGTCCGTGGCCACAGTGTGCGTCCCCCTAAGAAGAGCTGGAAGAAAATCTTCAACCTGTCTGGAGGAGAAAAGACCCTGAGCTCTCTGGCCCTGGTATTTGCTCTGCACCACTTCAAGCCCACGCCTCTCTACTTCATGGATGAGATTGATGCAGCCCTGGACTTTAAGAATGTCTCCATCGTGGCCTGTTACATTTATGTGAGTATTTCACATGCTCGCATGCACACACAGCAGTTCCTGTGAACTCTATTCCACATGGAACAGCTTTGAATAGTAATTGCCATTCTACTCATTGTATGTTGCTGTGCTTCTTGTTGACTCAGTGAGGGACATGGGGTCAGCCCATCTGTGTTAATCGTTGTTGTGTAATGGGAGATTATTGGAGGAGCTGTGGTAAGGTGTAAAGCCTATTCTGAGAAATCCCCTGTTTTGCAAAGCCCTCTTTTGGCAGCATGTTGGTCCATTGTTTTTTCCTGTCAAGGCGGTTGGTGGTTAATTATTCCCAGGCCACTATTTTAAGAGCTTAACTCACATAAGTACAGGAAAAATACTTGAGATTTGCAGCCTTTGATTTCCCATTGAATGTTAATTTATTTCCCTACTCCCTCTCTCTCCAGGAGCAAACCAAGAACGCTCAGTTCATCATAATCTCCCTGAGGAACAACATGTTTGAGATTGCTGACCGTCTGATCGGCATCTACAAAACCCACAACACCACCAAAAGCGTGGGAATCAACCCTAAAACCATTGTCTTCAAAGAGCCAATCTCAGTTTAGAACAGCAGTGACTCTGGTTTCTCACTTAGCCACTCTAGTAAGATGTATAAATATTGTCTGTCACCATGTATATAAAACCATGGCTTTAACCTATTCTATCATCATACTGTCTTTTTTACTGATGAAGCTAATAACTATTTTATCACTGGTCATTGAATACTTTGATTACTATAACTTCACTCATTAGTAAAATATTATGTAACCCTAAATAGAAAATGTTGCACTGGAAGACTTGTGGGGAAGTACTATTAATGAGCTGTAGGTCTTCCATCTTTTTAGGTAGAAAATGTGAAGACTGGCTATGGTCATCAGCGAGGAGCTGAGAAATTATATGGATTTCATGCCTCATTGACAATTCTAGCAAGCACTGGTTATGCAACAAACCTACTGAACCACTTCCAAGTGCTAATGCAATACAATCTCTGGAGCAACACTCAATCCACTCCTGAGATGGAGAATTATCCCGTCCACCCATTAATTTAATTCTGACAGGTATCACAAGATTATTTATTTGAAGAGACATTTTGAAGTACACACATTGTAGTTGACTTATAGAAAATCAGTACTTGATTTAACAGAAGGCTTTTCTGGTGAAGGTTAAATAGCTGGAGTAAAATGTAACAGTCGTATAGTATTTCTTACAGTACACAGCATGTAGAGCTCTAGAATGTCTTTGAAAAAGCTGTGCATAAGGTTAAGGCATATTGGCTTGCAAAATGTCAAGTATTTTTAAGGCTAATAATTATATATACCCGTCCGGCTCAGTTGGTAGAGCATTGCACTTGCAACGCCAGGGTTGTGGATTCGATTCCCATGGGGGACCAGTACGAATGAAAATGTATGCACTCGCTACTGTAAGTAGCTCTGGAAAAGAGCATCTGCTAAATGACTAAAATGTAAACAACTGCTTCCAATCTGCTGAATGCATTTCATGGTTTTTCACTTTCTGGTACATGAGGCAGTATATTCCTGTGATAAGCTTTATCTGGGGTCCGGGTTAGTCCCAGAAGTAACGCCTGTTTTCTGTCAACTGTATCCTGCTGCATCAGGAATTTTCCAATCAATAGGCACAGTTAGCATGAATTCCCAACCAAAACCAAAGTGTAACGGGTGACATTAAGACCTTACATCACCAGGTGGTGCTGTCATGAGGAGCTGGGGTCCTTCCTGAAGTGAAGACCCATGTCTTTTTGTCAGTAGCTGAAGGTCTTGTAGAGGGATGCCATCTGCTGGTAGGTGTTCTCCCCCAGTGTGGAGAGGGCAGAGCTGTACCTACACACCACCTCACCTGTCTGTGCATACAGGAAGCTTGCTGTCCCCCATAGTGAGGTGGTCAGTTCGCTGCTCAGGCCGTGCACCATCTGACTGAGCTGGGACAGCAGGGAGAAGCCCAGAGATGCTCCCCCAACAGGATTCACCCACACTGCCACCAGGAGCAGCAGCAGCCCCAGGAGCACCACAGGGGGAGTGGGCTGGAGCTGCAGCCACAGATCCTGGACCCAGCCTCCAGGGTGACTCCCTGCTTCTGTCCTAAGAACCGTCTCCAGAATGGTGGGCTTGGCACAGCAGAAGACCTGAGGCACCGGCCCTTCATCCAGCCCTCCGATGGTCACCCCCGCCCAGTGCTGTTCCAGGTACTCAGCAGCACGGGGTGTGATGGAGAGGGATGTGACTTTGGGCAGGGGGGCATTTACCAGCGCCTCCACCCTCTCCCGGAACATGTACACCTTCTCCAGGAAGACCAGCGGAGAGTCTTCGTCCTCCACGGCCGAGCCCAGAGACAACAAGTCCAGCTGCTCCTCCTGTGGGGAAGGCACCATAATATACAATCAATGGTGAGGAAGTAATGTCATGACAACAACACCGACCCCAGGCTATCCTTACCTGCAGCTCCTTCAGCCTCTGGATGAGTGGATCGTAGGTCAGCGACATCTCCACGCTTGCGGTGTCCAGGGCCCCCATGAAAGCCTCTTTCTTCCTGGCAAGCACCAGCTCCAGCCCCTGGAAGTACTGTTCCACAGCCTGCCGGTCCTGCCTCACTAGGCCCTCACAGCTGGCCTTCTCCTGCTCCAGCAGCTCCCCCAGCTCACACACCTTCAGGAAATAACACTTCAGGTAAACTATCCAGAAGACTACAAAATAAATTGGTCAAATGCATTAAATCCATTATTACTGGTAAATAAACATAAATCACCTCTGCCCAGCGGTGGTCTGAGAGCCTCCCCAGCAGGTGAGCGGGCGCCTGCCTTTCCCTGATGAAGGCTGCCTGCAGGTCATCGATGGGGTGGCCCTGGTGCTGGCCCACTGTTAGGCAGAAGCCACAGATGAGCTGGCGGTCCTGGACACAGTAGACGTTGAGGGGCTGTCGGTGGTGCTCAAGGCAGGAGGGGGGCCGTGGTTGGCTGTCCTTCTGGAACTGACAGGTACATTTGGGAATAAAATAAATTCTATACCTCTTCATTATACTGTACCCTATAAAGATATGCCCCAATGTGACTATGCCCTAAGATCAAATAAAAAAGTATTAAACGGTTACCTTCTCAATGATGGCGCGGAGGGAGACATTTATGGGCAATGCGTCAACACCCGTTGGCGGGAGCTCTACCACACTGCGGCAGTTGGGGCACTTGAGTGGGAGCCGCAGCGGACGCCAGATGGAGTAGATGGCAGAGACTTGGAGTACGTTGTCCAGGCAGGACTTACAGAAGGTGTGGGAGCAGGGCAGGACCCGAGGATCAGTGAAGAGGGAATAGCACACCGAACATGTCAGGTCCTCCTCTAGGTTCTCCATACTGGGGTGGGGTGATGGGACAATGAGGCTCTGCGTACCTGGCTTGTTGCTGCCCTCGCAATTCAATGCATTGTTTAGCCTGTAATTGGAAGAGCAGACATCACTCTTGATTTAGAACACTCAAGTGAAGTTCAATGGTTTGAGTTGTCCTGACAAACCCACTTGGGCTTAATATTTGCAATCTAATTGTTGGTGATGAGTGAGTGTTAGGTTCATCATAATGATTCATCAACAGTTACACATGGGTGGAGTCGCTTCATGACAACCTGCAAAGTTTAGTGGCCGACTTCTGTGAACTACTAGCATATTTACATGACAGAGTGCCAAAACGGGTACCTCCAAACCTGGACAGCAGCGGATGATGACTTCACACCGGATGACTCCCACCTCACTGCTAGAAGCTATTTCAGTCTGACCGGATGATCAGCAGTTTCTACTGTCTCGGTCTAACCCATGTATAGGTTTGTAGGGCACTACAATTATTGCCACTTGCACATTGCTCTGCTGCATACATCATACATAGCGAATAAGGCTGGTTGACTGAGATGAACAACACAGAGCCACATGAGAATTGTTTCAGGACAATAATTCATTCAAATGGGGATGCAATATGGTTAGAGTAATAGTGTTACATACAGGGCCGGCTCTAGCCTTTTGGGGATCCTAAGCGATATTTGGTTGGGGGGCCCCCCCACCAAGCGGGCAAAATAAATAGTGGCCCTCTTTACAGCAGAGAGAAACTTACATTTTAAAGTACATTTCCTGCAATTCTACATATTTTGCCATGGGGCGTATAGACAATGTTGCTGTTTTAAAGCACGTTTTCTGCAGTTCTAAACATTTTGCCATGGGGCGGAGAGAAAATTTAGCAATTGTATAACAAATGTCATGCAATTCTACTCTGTTTGCAATGGGGTAGAGACATTTTTTGAGTTTTAAAGCTAATTTCCTGCAATTCTACACATTTTTCCATGACTTATGCCATGATATCTGCGTGAGAGTGACTAGCTAAATCAATGGGGGGCCCCTGGGCATGTGCCCTGCGTGCTCGGTCGGTATTCGGCCATGATTACTACAAGTTTAGATAACTGGCTAGGCTAATTTGCCACTATAAAAATTGTTAGCTGCTTTGCTTATTGAGTGTCTGTCAGTGACTGACAAAACAATTAAACTGGTGATTCAAAACCAAATTTCGAACTTGCACCTTGTGTATTCTACTATTCTAACTTTCAACAGTAAATTGAGAACCAGACAGTTCCTAAAAAAAAGAAAACGGATGAGGGCCCTAAGCACCCGCTTATGTCGCAAGCCGGTCCTGGTTACATAATGACCAAATAGTGGTTTTCCTGTGACAGATTGCCGGACTACAGTATAATGCAGTCGGTTTGGCTAGTGTACTGCAATTGCCTGAAATGTAACAGAACAAATAAGTCAAGGAAACACTTAAAAATCCAACTACCAGAGATCAAGGCTACTAATACTGTATTACATTGATAATGTGGGGGTTTGCAAGAGCCCACTCATTTTGGTGGCAGGCTGCACTAAACTGTACAAGAGCCGTTTGTTCATTTGGCACCTCAGGTTAGATTGCAGACAGGTAGATGCTCACGTAATGCTCCCAAAACCTGAGTGGCACTATTCTTGCTGAAATAATAACATGATCATGACAGCTGTCTGACCAGGTCTATAATGATATTTCGCCTGAAGGTGTTTTGAGATTAATTTGTGAAATTTAATTTTGTTTTTTTTACCTTCCTATTTGTGCGGCACTGTTGACAATGCACAACAATTAACATAGCCTATAACATGGACTTCGTGCACACGCCTATATTTCTTCCATAAATAATATATTTCTTAATCAACAAAATAAAACAAAAGCCTGAAGACACTTTAAAAACGCTGCGGAGCTGCCGGAAGTGTTTGCATTTGAAAGAAAACAACCGTGATGCCACTATCTGCCTGACACAGCTGGTTAGTCGGGCTGCATTTCAACGACGCTACTGCGCATTTTTTTTTTATATCAAAAACTCACACTGTTGCAAACTTGTTAATAGATACGATTGATAAAGCATAGGTTTTTAAATTCACAAAGTACAGTATGTCTTTGTTATTTTCAAAACACTCACCGATGCCCGGACTTCGAAAATACATGCCGAAGATTCACCTCTTGCTCGCGACCTGTCCTCCGTCTGGTACTTGATTATAGTACAGTGCGCATGCGAATTACAACAGCCTTTTTCCAATCATGTGCCTCTAAGAAATTTAAATCAAGTGCACTGTTACAAAGTAACCGCGGATGGGGGTGTAGCGAGATACCCAATGCCTGGACGATTCTCTTCTCATCACTGATCTTGGAGGGAAAAAGACGTACACAAAAAACTTGGAAATCAATCCGCTATCATTAACAATGGACAAATCTAATGATTTATTGAAATGGCATGGGCAACCGAGAAACACTAATTGATACAAATTAAGGGCAAGTAATAATGCAGGCCCTAGGGATTGGGGTGCGAGCATGCGGGTCTGGGCAGATGAGATGTAGGTAGTCATTGTTTGGTCTTTGTATGTACACGTTCGTATATGGAGTAAAACATATTTTAAAAAAGTAAGGTCAGTATCAGAGATACATTTATTTCACCATAGCACAGCATCAAGGACGTTCTTTTTGACAAAGATAATGAAATGCTGCAAATGACAGATCAACCTAAATAAGACTGCAGAGGTAACAGGCATAAGCCTACAATATACATGAACCATTGAAAGACACGACAAAAACAGACCATACCTGTGGGTTTCACTATTTATTTTCTTGATTTCAACCTAGCCTGTAGATCCAACTCAACAGGTTAACCACCATTTCTTCCATTTCATTTTTTAAAATTTGAAACCACATATTTCCTAACAAGGAATGCTGCAAAAAAAAAAAAAAAAAACTATGACCACAAAGTGTAATCAATTTATACAGTGTTTTTGAAATTAACAAAGAAAAATGGGGGAATATTGGGCACCTAAATGGAAAACAGGGGGCAGGAGCAAGGGTTTGGGAGGTACAGCAAACTTGTTCATGACTCTTCTTAGGTCAAGGAATAAGGCTCAACATTTATCATTGAGCCACCCTGTCGAGGCTAGGGGGTCCAATCCCTGTGATACTTACCTTAGCAACTCAGGGGTGCCTCAAAAGCAGAGGCAGAATAATTATTGCCCCTCCTAATTATAATTTTTCTTCAAATTCCCTAAAATGGCTCAACATGAGTTGATCATGGCTACTACTGAATATAACACAATAATTGTGGTTGGATGATGCATATTGTTGAAGGTGTTAGCAGGTCTGATTTGAGTCTAACCCCACCTTTTGAAAGACTTCAGGCCTCTCACTCTGCAGTACATGTGCAAATCTGTTCAGATTTATCAGAAACTTAAGTCAGTAGGGGGAGACATGTAACATTTAAACAGCACAGTTTACAAAAAAATGAAAATTACACTGTTATAGTTTAGTACATGCAAAGGTTATGAGTCAAAGTTACATAAAATGGCAATTTTTAATTTCCCCTTGTGATAAGTCAATGCTCAAAGCTATGGCAACAATACTGCAAAGCAGTGATTTTTGCTTCAAGAGAAAGAAAAAACATTAAATCATGCTAGGGGAGTATAGAAGTCATTTGGTTGACAATAATGATGTCAGAATTTCACAGCATCAAACCCATATCTGGTGCAAAGGTATGGCTATTGTGGGAAGGTGGAATATGATCCTTATCAATCACATTTACATAAGCAATGAAAGTAAAAGCAGAAAATAAAATTAGTACACACTGGATGTGAAAAGAAAAGCCACCAAATGCATCTTAATACAATGCACCCACTGCTCCACCTGCCAATAGCATTGTCCAGTGTCAATTAATACTAACTTAATAAAAATTAAAACAAACAAAACCCTTGTGATGACATTTTTTTTCATTTCCATAGTTCTTCCTTTCAGGGATTCGTATCGGCCTCTTTAAAAGGCAGAATTTATTTTTGTATTTTCCTTCGTTTACGCTTCTCGGTTTTGTTACTCTTATGTTGTATGCATTTTGTTTCTCTCTGCATGCGTTCACATCCAGTCTTCTTGCACACTCCAGACACGCACGCACACACGCCACTCGTCCATTCTCTCGCACACACGACGCTGGACTCTGGCCCTGCCCACCGCTGCGGGGGAGGGGGGGGAGACGCCCCATCGAGGGCCTCTGGTTGGAGGAGATGAGCCTGGCTCCTCAGCACTGAGTCCAGACATTCATACACAATGGGTCCATTCACACACACGTCTGATGGCGTGGCCGATTGGGGGATGGGCGCACAGGAGGTGGAGCCCCCTCCGGTCGGAGGACCGCAGAATTGTCATATGGTTCATCTTACGCTTGTTTTGTTGGTTTTCCTTTTGTGTTTGATTTATTGCCTCAATTTCTTGATTTTGATGTATTTGGTTCTCCCCGGGCTGACATCGCGTTTGTCGTCATTGTAGTAGTTTTCCGTTTTTTGTCGACAGCTCCAATAACATGGAAGTTATTCGGCATGTCTCAACGCATTCGATGTAGATGTTTGTTTTTTGCAACATGTAGCCACTCACTCACACCCACTCGCCATCTCAAACTTCATTTGGGCTGGTTCCCCTGGAATGCCAAACGAAATCCACACATTTTCTCTCAGATAAGATGCAGCCACGGATCCCACGAGCCAAGCACAATGGATCTAATTTCTCTCACACTCTTTCGCTCTCTTTCTCTCCTAATTTGTTTTATGTTGAACAGAGTGCTGCATCGCGAACAAAACTCCGGACTCCCGAGATGCCTTCTAGAACTGGAACCCCTCTGCTGGCACGTTGGTGGAGGAGTTGAAGCCGTACGTTCCCCCCTGGATCGCCTCCGGAACCAGGCTGGAGTCTTCATCAATCTGAACATGAGACAATAACAACTCAATCATCTATACAAATAAGCCATTCCACACAATGTAGTATGCAGTACCTTCCCCAACCAAGACATGACCATATTAGAGCTCTGACTAACGTCATCAGATGAGAAGAACTGATCAATTATTTCATAGGCCAGTTTATAGATGTCTTCATTCTCATGATTCTGGAGCTGCTCCACCTTCTCCAGACCTGAGGGGCGGGGAAGAGTGAGAGATGGTTCAGCAGTCAAATCTATACAGCCACTATACACTATACTTCAACATGAACAGTTGGGAGGTACAATGCCGTTTGAAAGGTAACTGAGTGGGCTGGGCTCTCACCTCCACACTCCTCGATGAGGTTGGCGATGGTCTCAGCCTCGTCATCGGCCATCTTGAGGATGTTGCTGAGGCCGTCCAGGACCACCTGCACCACCTGAGCATCCTTCACTGTCAGCAGGTTACAGAAGGGAGGGATCACCTTCTGCTGGATCAGGTACGCCACCTACAGGACCGGAAGAGAAGGGTCATCTTGAGGGTTTACAAAATACATGATAAAAAGTGGGAATTCGAGTGTATGGATGTGAGGTGGGTAGGCCTCAGTTGAGCTCACCTGGTCCTTCCTCCCACTAATTGTCAGGTTGCTGATGGCCCAGGCTGCTTCTTTCTGTGTTCCAAAGTCTCCCTACAAAAAATTTGAATTAATATTTCACCAATATGATATTCTCATTACTGCTTCATTTTGTGCAAGAGAAAGCTCTGATGAGATGAATGAAGCAGTGAAAGTGATGAAACAGACCTTGTCCAGAAGGTGGATGATCATGGGTACCAGGTTGGCGTCGATGACGGCCTGCACCTGCTGCTGGTTGCCTGCGGTGATGTTGGACAGGAACCACACTGCCTCCTGCAGGACAGGAGAAGAAACAGCTGCACTCAGTCTGCGACTACTCCTTCAAGTGTTGTGTGTGAGAGGCAGGGCTTACAGAGACTGAATAAGCAGTCAGTGTGTGTGCATGTGTGTCAGGAGGATTGCAGAAATGGTGAGAAGTTCACACATGGAATTCAAAAGGTGTGGACTGAGCTAGATCAGACTCCAGGGGCCTGCTCAGAGCTGTGGCCCCTGGTCGAGATGGGGTGCTGGGGGCGGGGTAGGGGCGGTCGTGAGGCCCTAATCATTGGCTCAGTCACTGAGGGAGGGAGGGGCCTCTGAGTAACAGGCCTCAGATGCACTCCGATATCAGCAGAGACCCATGGGTCTTCAGCGCCCACTATCCTTCACCCAGAAATACTACACACAAACACACTCACATCTCACACTCTACCCACTATCCCAGACCATCCCAAAATCTACTCAAAACTGCAATTTCCATCAGCTTCTTGAAGTCTCCTTGATCCAGCTCTTCCATGATGCGAGTACCTAACTAATAGTTATATCCCCATTCACTGTCATTCATACTAGCACCATGTCTCTGATATCATCACTTCTAGCATGATCAGTCACACTGACACACCTGTTGTGCTGTGGCAAGTTGAAGCAGTGCGGAGTGTGTTTTACCTTGTTGATCTTCTCCTTGGGGTGTGTGAGGAGAGAGGGGAAGTGTCCCAGGGCGTCACAGTTGAGCACCACCTGGGTCTGTTCATCTGTTCCAGTCACTATGTTGCCCACCGCCCGCAGAGCAGCCGTCTAGAGAGAAACACACACAATCAAGTTCCACATAGCAGTCAATACAAACACTCCAAGCATCAACGATCATTCATTCAACTAAATAAAGTAAGCAAACCAACCACCACCCAAAGAATGATTGAGTATGAATATCAGCACAGTAACCACCAGCCAAGGTATCAGGGCCAGGAGTAAGACCCATTCAAGTCCTGAGCAGTATCATCTGTAGGGTCAACTAGGGCTGGGCGGTATACCACATTTTACGATATACTGGTATTGATGCACGGACCGGTTTGGGTTTTTACTTTACGTTCTATAACGGTTTGTTAAATGTGATATGCCGTGTGTAACATCCATTTTTATAGTTTACATTGCTACTTGAGTCATCTTTCTCCACTAGCGTTCTATAATTACACTATTAGTTTGTGTTACATCTGCAAACAGCTAGGTCGTCTTTTCTTAGCAAGTTGGGCCTAAATCTTGTTAGCTGCTAATGCTAATCGCTAGCTAGCTGGCTAGCTAATAAATATACGGAATCAGAGAACGTAATTAGCTATGCAGCCTGATAATACCAGTGATGGTATACATAAATCAGCATGTTGTTTGTGCAACAGTATCTTCTAAATCAAAAAGGAATATGCGAAGCATGAAGTAGCTAAGAGAAAACATTCAATGTAGCCAAAGATTACAGGGTCCCCTAGGAAACAACACTTTGGTTCCTTCCCTGTCACAATAACTCCTCCCAGGCATTTTAATTCATTGTCATGTCAAAAACTATATTCAAAGTTCCCACTATCATATTCTAACTAGAATTAGAATAATCATTCTATTTCCATTATTCCAACAGTTCACCCAAGTGTTTTGCTCTAAATCGCAAGTCAAATCACAATTGAAACATTCTGTTAAAAATAAGGCCTGATTGTTTGCCCATATTGTGCAGCCATACATGGCAGTATGGAAATGATCTCAAATGAGTGCAGATAATAAAGAAATTGATAAATGATGAATTGAACAGTATAAAACAATCAGAATGGAGAAAGACCCATTGAAATCACTTAGAATGTATGTGTTGCCACCTTAGGGTCACACACTACTCGAAGCGAATGTATAACTTTTGTAATTTTGTATTACTTTTTGTATACTGCGATATGATAATTTGGCCATAACGCCCAGCCCCAGGGTGAGCTCACCAACTGCATCATGGTAACTGAATTACACACACACCCACCCACCCGCCCAGACAGGAACCCGTCTCAGGTCAAAACACTGCAGCTCAGGACAAGAGCTCTTCTCCTAACCCTTGCCCTGCCCTAACCTAACTTTATCTAACCACCGCAGTGCACAGGTCTCCATGTACCTGACCGAAAACAACCCCTAGCCTCGCCCCCTTCATGTTTGCAGACCTGAAGGAAACTGATAGGGGTAAACGATATGGTGATGGCTCTACCTATCCTTCTAATGAGCATAGAGAAGCCGCCGCCATATTGCTTACACACCTATCTGATTCCATCACATCTGCAAACCCAGCTATGGTAGGGCAACGGCTCAGTCCTTACAAAAGCAATCATTCCATTTGGTGGGCGTCTGTCTTCCTGAGCCCCACTGAGTAGGATGAAGCTGCTCCTAGATGCTGATCTACGGACAGTTTTGTGGTTAATGATGGGATTTGGGGAGGCTAAGCTGATCCTAGATCTGTCGCCCACAGGCATCTGTGTCTCCGTACCTGCACTTTGACCTCCTGGTGGCTAAGCAGGGGCACCAGGTTGGGCACAATGCCCGAGTCGATGACCATCTGAATCTGCTCATTGCCAGCGTCCGTCAGGTATGACAGAGCCCACACCGTGTCCACCAGGATCTACACACAGGGTCACAGGTCCCAAAAACAAAACATTCACTCATTCATCAACATATGGATCATGCATCAATATCTGCTTGTGGTTATTAATGGGGGAAATCAATATCAATGTCAACTTTTACTATTCGGGTTGTGTCTTTCTGAATATAATCAGTGATTCAGGAATACTCACATTAACATCAGTGTGGTGGATCAGCACACAGAGAGCTGGAAGTATCTGAGAGAAAAGAGGGAGGGAGAGAGCAAGATAGTCAGTGACAGAGATGCCAACAAAATGACAGGAATATTCCCACTAGAGATGTGACAAATGGACAATATTTATGTTTAAACATCCTTTTGGGGGGGGGGGGGGGTCCAGTATAGGCAGGTCGGTCACCAGGCAGACAGAGTCAGAACCGTGCACTAGGCCCATCTATCGGCAATCAAATGCTCTCTCACAATTTTTTGGCCTTGCAATGTCTCGCAACTTCGGTAAAGCAGGGCCCATCATCAATTAAAAGGCTAGGATATTGAGATGAGCGAGATGCAACACTGCTCTCTCACAGTATTTGCGCATGTGCACGGGTTCGCTTCACGCTGTTCACAGGGTGGTAGCCAGGGCACCAAAACAGCGGAGAAGTTGAGCCTTGCGCTTCAACGCTATTAGTTGTTGCAGAAATTGACCCACTATGCTGTTTACTTTCTGCATCTACTTCATATCACTGAGTCTACCTTTAAATTACACAACTTTATTAATTAATTCAACTTATATAGCACTATTCATTACATAAAGAAATCTCAAATGGATGTAAAGCAGCAAAAAACATAATTAATTATCCTGAGTTGATCAATGGTCAAGAGATTGAAGGTTGAGAAAGTTAATGGCTTGAGTGAGGTCAGCGGAGGGAGGAGGTGGTCAAAGGGGAGAGCCTTTATAGCCCATCGTCTAGTTAGGATATAACACTGAAAATAATGTTTTGTGATAACTACACTGTGATTTTTGTGGGGATAGAAAACTAAAAAACATTGTTTTCGGTTAGGGATCTCCCACACCTTTTTTCTAAGGGGCTTATGGCAGTTTAGAGACATGGTCCAGTATTATTCAGCAGTGATACAGTGCCTTGCAAAAGTATTCATCCCCCTTGGCATTTTTCCTATTTTGTTGCATTACAACCTGTAATTTAAATTGATTTTTATTTGGATTTCATGTAATAGACATACACAAAATAGTCCAAATTGGTCATGTGAAAAAAACAACTTGTTTCAAAAAATTATACAAAATAAATAACGGAAAAGTGGTGCGTGCATATGTATTCACCCCCTTTGCTATGAAGCCCCTAAATAAGATCTGGTGCAACCAATTACCTTCAGAAGTCACATAATTAGTTAAATAAAGTCCACCTGTGTGCAATCTAAGTGTCACCTGTTCTGACAGGCCCCAGGGTCTGCAACGCCACTAAGCAAGGGGCGGCACCATGAAGACCAAGGAGCACTCCAAACAGGTTAGAGACAAAGTTGTGGAGAAGTACAGATCAGGGTTGGGTTATAAAAATATCAAAAACTTTGAACATCCCACGGAGCACCATTAAATCCATTATTAAAAAATGGAAAGATTATGGTACCACAACAAATCTGCCAAGAGAGGGCCGCCCATCAGAACTCATGGACCAGGCAAGGAGGGCATTAATCAGAGAGGCAACAAAGAGACCAAAGATAACCCTGAAGGAGCTGCAAAGCTCCACAGCAGAGATTGGAGTATCTGTCCATAGGACCACTTTAAGCCGTACACTCCACAGAGCTGGGCTTTACAGAAGAGTGGCCAGAAAAAAGCCATTGCTTAAAGAAAAAAATAAGCAAACACGTTTGGTGTTCGCCAAAAGGCATGGGGGAGACTCCCCAAACATATGGAAGAAGGTACTCTGGTAAGATGAGACAAAATTTTTGCTTTTTGGCCATCAAGGAAAACGCTATGTCTGGTGCAAACCCAACACCTCTCATCACCCCGAGAACACCATCCCCATAGTGAAGCATGGTGGTGGCAGCATCATGCTGTGGGGATGTTTTTCATCAGTAGGGACTGGGAAACTGGTCAGAATTGAAGGAATGATGGATGGCGCTAAATACAGGGAAATTCTTGAGGGAAACCTGTTTGTCTTCCAGAGATTTGAGACTGGGATGGAGGTTCCCCTTCCAGCAGGACAACGACCCTAAGCATACGGCTAAAGCAACACCCGAGTGGTTTAAGGGGAAACATTTAAATGTCTTGGAATGGCCTAGTCAAAGCCCAGACCTCAATCCAATTGAGAATCTGTGGTATGACTTAAACATTGCTGTACACCAGCGGAACCCATCCAACTTGAAGGATCTGGAGCAGTTTTGCCTTGAAGAATGGGCAAAAATCCCAGTGGCTAGATGTGCCAAGCTTATAGAGACATACCCCAAGAGACTTGCAGCTGTAATTGCTGCAAAAGGTGGCTCTACAAAGTATTTACTTTGGGGGGGGGGGGGGGGGGGGGGGGGTTGAATAGTTATGCACGCTCAAGTTCTGTTTTTTTGTCTTATTTCTTGTTTGTTTCACAATAAAAAATATTTTGCATCTTCAAAGTGGTAGGCATGTTGTGTAAATCAAATGATACAACCCCCCAGGAGCCAGGAGGACAGAGACACAGATTGATACACACACCCCCTGTACACTACTGTACCGTACATAATGCTCAGGTTCAACAACACACTGACAGCCAGAGAGATTCAGATAAACAGACTAACAGAGACAGTTATTCCTGGATAGTGTCCAAAGATCATTTTGCCAGGACAGATTGACCACGACCCAGGTGGCACACACACACCCTCTCTTACCTCCTGGATGGTCTCCATGGGTGGCGGTGGGTCCTTGTGGCGGCAGAGGTTGACCATGACCCAGGTGACGTTACGGAGGAAGGTGATGGGGATAGAGGGGCTGATGAAGGACAGCAGGGGCTTCACCACGCCCAGACTGATCACATAGTCCCTGCACTGGGGGCCGTCGCCTAGGAACAGACATACAGAACAGACGGTTTCACAAACACTCACCGATGATGCCTTGAGACAATCAGAGAATCCCTGAGCCATTCCCACAATCAGCCTCCATTGTTAGAGGGTCCAAGACACACAGAGAAGGATCCAGACTCACCTATGATGTTGCCCAGGGCCCAGACCGCCTGCTCACACACGTTCTGATGAGGAGAGTGCAGCAGCCTCAGGAACAGTGGCACAGCATCTGCAGGAGAAGAAATGCTCTAATTAATATTCAATAGCTAACTCCATCACCAAAGGCTAGAAATAATCTGCCTTTCAGGTGCACATAAACTACAAATCCAAGACCTGGTAGGCATAATGATCGAAAATCCCACCTAGCCCCCAGAGAGTACTGGCATTGGTTGCGCTGAGGTTGTGAGCTGGTACTTACTGGACTGGACCACTGCCTGAGTCTGCTCTGAGGTTCCTGAGGCAATGTTGGTCAAAGCCCAGGCAGCCTCAAACTGTAGAGATGGACTGGAGACGGAGGCAGAAGTGAGATGAGGCAGTAGAAAGAGAAAGGGTGGAGAGAGGAAGAGGGGAGGGATAGAGAGGGGGAAGAAATTGTGATGAAACGAGAAATGGAAAGGGTTGTTATTCCATCCGTCAGTGGTTATGACAATTCTCACATCTGATTATGAAAGATCCTGACACATTTGCATTGCAGCATACTTCCGTCATCATCTGAAGAGATCCATTCTCAGTACAGTGATGCTTAGCGTACATTCACTGCAGCAATACTTAGATCACAACCACTTGTGTTATGTAAGACACAGTATCTATAACACAAAGTAAAGTCCTGCTTACTTGTCATCTCTGTCCAGACAGTGCACCAGGATGGGTAGAATGCCAGACTTGATCAGGTCATCTATGGGAGGGTTACGGTCACTAGACAACAGCTTCCTGCAGGGAGAGAATGTCCATTATTCACACATATTTGCACTTAAGACACACCCAAACATAAAATAAAGGAATGTGTAATGTACACATCTGAGTTGTTGCACAACACCAGTGCTGTTGAGTACAGACATGACAACGCAATCTCACAATGATTACACAAGACCGGCAACAATGACACAGAACTAAGTCTAGCATGTTCGTCAGAAACCAAGAAATAATTCATGGGCTATGCTCCAGAATCAGCCGCTCCACAACATTCTAGAGATGGTTTTTGGAACCATGTTTGAGTGTGAATCACCATGGCAACCACCAGAGCCAGATGTAGGAGGAGAGAGTTCCTACCTTGCAGCCTGCACGGCACTCAGCTGAACTCCCTGGTTGTCACTGGTGGCATTCTGAAACAACAGCACACAGGAAATCACATACAGTGGAAGGAAATACATGTCTGTAAGAAATTTTTCAAAATTGTAAGTGTGAGATGCACTTACTTGTACTATTACTTCAAGAGAGGTGTTTTGCTGCAAGATAAAAGGAGGTACTTAGTTAGGGAACAATTTATTTTGCCGATGTCAAACACGGCCAGAGGGATCGTAATGTGTTTCTTTGCACTGTGGCCACACCTCAGGGTAATTAGTCAGGCCTTGGGAGGCAGTCCTGACTAGGAAAAACAAGTCAGAATGTCTGGAGACATCAGTCCCCGAGGAATGTCAACATGGGCCAAAATTTGTACATCACAAATCATTTTTAAAAATCTTAGAAAAGAACACAGTACAGTTGATAGTCATCCTATTTTTATCATGTTTTGTTCATATTTTATTGCAACAAGAGGTCCCCTCCCATTTGATTTGGATTGCATGTGGATATCTTTTAGCTAACAGTTCTAGGAACTCTATCTTTACCATAGATCTAAATCACCTGTTAATCCCTATCACATGAGTGATTACTTCAAGGAAGGAAGGAAAGAGGGACATAACAGAGGGCCAATCAGAACGTACCGATCTGAAGTCTCCGTCAGCATCAGAGTCTTCACAGATGTCCTCGTGGGGCACGTTTCTCCTCTTCAGCAGGTGTTCGTCCCTTTTGTTCTGCAGGGAGCAGGGCAAGACAGCTGTCTTAACGTACATGCATCAGCATGGCAACAGGCTTAACTATTAAACAGGCATTTTAAAGGGATCCTTCGGGATGCTAGCAGATACCCATAGATTTCCAGCCATTGTGCTAACGCTAGTTAGCATTGGCTCGCAAAACTACCATCAGACTGGACACAGACATAAAAATGGTACCCACAAGTTCACCTGACTCTTGGGAAGTAGATAAAGGGTCTTATTGCCAAAATTCCGAAGTATCCCTTTAAACGCATCTTTGATAACCTGACTGAAATGCATTTGTATCTTGTCTGACATAGATTAAAGGAAAGAAGGTGAATGATTACCTTGCGGAGTTCCACCACCACCTCTGTCCTCTGTCTTCTCATCGTCTATAGGGGAGAAAACACATACATTAGCCTAGTACAAATATACACTGTATGTGTGCCTGATTGTGTGTTGATACTTCCACAATCCAAGCCCAAAACATAAATGAGATGTTTATCCTCCCAATATGATGAGATGACAGCATCCTGTATATTTGTGCTTAGAGAGCTGGTCAGAGTCAGAATGTTCATTAGTTCCCATCCACAGTTTTGGATGGCACAGTGATAGAACCAGCCTGCCATACCACTGCCTGAAATCACCAGCTCACGCTCACATTATAACATGGACACCATTTAGATAGACTGACTTAACACAGATCTCAACTGCTCCACGGTTGGTGTTTTGTATCTTAGGGTTCATGTTAATATTGGGTGGTAATATGAGGGACCATTTTCAAGCACCTGATTGACAGACATTACATTACTTATAAGGACTGATTAAGTAATTTGCTGTCATAAAATACTGGCCTTTGGCCATTTGTCATGATCGGATGATAGTGAAAGTATTAAGTTAAATTCTTCCTTCTGTCTAGAAAGGCCCTGCCCATTTCCTTCTCAGAAAATTATAATATTCCCTCTCCACAGTGAAGTGAGAGACAGTTCATCACTAAACTATGAACAGCACTTCTATCATCATGTCTTGGTGTGACATAGCCTAGTTATGCATGTTAGCTGTTATGCAAGCAATATTCTTGTTTCCACCGCAAACAACGCCCCTGCCGTTGACCAGTCATATTATGTCATCATTAAAAATAAATCAGGCACTTCTTGTCAAACTGAATACAAAGACAACATGATTTCCTGACTATCTGTCTGAAACACCATAATACATACACCTAGCTAGTATATGTCTTCCTATAATCTGTTCCCCTTGCCTATAATAATTTAGCTTCCACTAGTTTGAACTGAAAATGTAGTTAAATTGAAGAAGCCTTGGGTGTTGTTGTGGTGCCCTTGCACCCAGTCTGGAACGGTCTGGGGGGGGAAATAGCTTTGGGACACAACATCAGGAGTCTGTATATTGGTTGTACTCCCCGAGTTGTGCATCATTCTGATGGCTGGCGACTTAAAATAACCCTACCACAAAGCCGGCTTCACCAAAAAACGTTTCCAGACAACAAATGCATGTGCATAATCTCTAGGAACTCTACATGTTGTGGTTAAGTTATTTTCTGTCGCCACCCAACAGAACGATTCACAACTCTGGGAGTCCAACCAATACACAGACCCCCGATGTGTCCAAACCTAGGGAAAACACTGGTTAGTATAATGTGACGTTAATGTTTAACTCTCCTACACTTGCAGGCTTTCCATCCATCTACCTCACAATGGCTATAACTTTCGTTATGTGTCTGCCAAGGCCTACAAAGGGGCCCTGACGACCAGCTAAATTCCGCCATCGTTTTGATAAGCTACGCTAGCAGGTTAGCTAGTAACCTAGCTAGCTACCAGCAACGCGTCCTGGCTAACTAGACATAATTAAATATCTGTAGTTAAGGAAGCTGATAACTAGTAAGAGGCTAACATTTACCATTACATTTGACACTTGGAGCAACTAACTACGAAGCTAAAGTTAATTGACAAACTCAGTTGGGTGGCTAACGTTAGCTAGCTAAATTAATCTAGCTAACGTTAGCTGACCAGTTAACGTTAGTTAATATAGTTGAGGTTCTTACTGCGTAATTCTGTCTTTGAGGTCATTAGTTAGCTAGCCAAGCTGGCCAACGGTAGGTATCAGTTTTAAAATCTTACTGGCTACATTAATATAGCTAACGATATATAGCGTCTGATAATTGCGTGTAAATTAGTTGGCTAACTAACTACATGACATAGCTAGCAAGCTATAGTCGGGGAGAGGTGGTACATTATAGCTGGCTAGTTAACTACATACTTAGCTACCTAACGTTAGCTAATCCAAACCAGTCGTTAGAAAGGGATACGAATCTCGTTTAGTGAACCAAATTATCCCCCCGAAAATATGTGGTTAGGTATGTCAATTCCAAACCTCAACACCAAACTGGATAGGTTGTCTGACACAGCTACCCAACTACATTTCAGAGGACTGTCGAATAGCAAATATGGCTAGCTAGAACAGCGTGTTTGTCAGTGTGCCATTGCTATCACGGCCTGTAGTTAAATAGTTAGCTACCAGGTTAGCTTAGGATGGAACTGGAAGTCGTTTGCTAGCTCGGTTAGCTTAGTTTGTTGGGGACGTTTCACGTGTTGAGGGTTACTTTTATTCAGGTTCAGAAAGTCGGGTGGATGGATATAAAGGCCTTGATCTATTTGACGATCAGATAAGGCCTGGTTTGGGCTAGGTGCAAAGTTCTAGATCCTTAAAATTACAAACGACGTCACACAGCGCAGCCCCAAGCAACAAAATATCGCATATGAAACCGGACCCCTCGACGGAATCAGAATACTTTACCTCCAAATCGCGACCCTTGTTCTTGAAATTCTTCAGCCGCTGGTTGTCTAGTTTCTCGTTGTCAGTCATGTTAGCAATTTTAGCTATGTTTTAACACCGTTTGAAATTAATTAGCTAGCCGCTACTCCTTTCAAGTTCTTTTTTTCAGGCCTTTCAGGTACGGGACTATTTTTTGTTGGTCTATCCGCGGTGCACACTGGGAATGCCGGTGTTAGAGGCACAGCCTCGCTCTGGCGTAGAAGGGTGGGGAATTCCCGTTATTGCTCACTCATTGGTCTTGCGAAAGAGGTTATTATTCTATTAAACCATCACTAGGTTGCGCTGTGGTTTGCAGCTAGTTCAGACCACCACACTGTATCTCAGATTATTATCATCAATAAATTAAACAAATAGTGGGCATGAAAGTTCTTCTAGTCTCATGATTGAGTAACGTTAACGTTATGATCTGTCAATCAGTGGATTTTGGTAAAGCGTTAGGCCTAAACAGTTACTAGTCCTATACTGATACAGTGGGGGAAAAAGTATTTAGTCAGCCACCAATTGTGCAAATTCTCCCACTTAAAAAGATGAGAGAGGCCTGTAATTTTCATCATAGGTACACGTCAACTATGACAGACAAAATGAGAAAAAGAAATCCAGAAAATCACATTGTAGGATTTTTAATGAATGTATTTGCAAATTATGGTGGAAAAATAAGTATTTGGTCAATAACAAAAGTTTCTCAATACTTGTTATATACCCTTTGTTGGCAATGACACAGGTCAAACGTTTTCTGTAAGTCTTCACAAGGTTTTCACACACTGTTGCTGGTATTTTGGCCCATTCCTCCATGCAGATCTCCTCTAGAGCAGTGATGTTTTGGGGCTGTCGCTGGGCAACACAGACTTTCAACTCCCTCCAAAGATTTTCTATGGGGTTGAGATCTGGAGACTGGCTAGGCCACTCCAGGACCTTGAAATGCTTCTTACGAAGCCACTCCTTCGTTGCCCGGGCGGTGTGTTTGGGATCATTGTCATGCTGAAAGACCCAGCCACGTTTCATCTTCAATGCCCTTGCTGATGGAAGGAGGTTTTCACCCAAAATCTCACGATACATGGCCCCATTCATTCTTTCCTTTACACGGATCAGTCGTCCTTGTCCCTTTTCAGAAAAACAGCCCCAAAGCATGATGTTTCCACCCCCATGCTTCACAGTAGGTATGGTGTTCTTTGGATGCAACTCAGCATTCTTTGTCCTCCAAACACGACGAGTTGAGTTTTTACCAAAAAGTTCTATTTTGGTTTCATCTGACCATATGACATTCTCCCAATCCTCTTCTGGATCATCCAAATGCACTCTAGCAAACATCAGACGGGCCTGGACATGTACTGGCTTAAGCAGGGGGACACGTCTGGCACTGCAGGATTTGAGTCCCTGGCGGCGTAGTGTGTTACTGATGGTAGGCTTTGTTACTTTGGTCCCAGCTCTCTGCAGGTCATTCACTAGGTCCCCCCGTGTGGTTCTGGGATTTTTGCTCACCGTTCTTGTGATCATTTTGACCCCACGGGGTGAGATCTTGTGTGGAGCCCCAGATTGAGGGAGATTGTCTTCCATTTCCTAATAATTGCTCCCGCAGTTGATTTCTTCAAACCAAGCTGCTTACCTATTGCAGATTCAGTCTTCCCAGCCTGGTGCAGGTCTACAATTTTGTTTCTGGTGTCCTTTGACAGCTCTTTGGTCTTGGCCATAGTGGAGTTTGGAGTGTGACTGTTTGAGGTTGTGGACAGGTGTCTTTTATACTGATAACAAGTTCAAACAGGTGCCATTAATACAGGTAACGAGTGGAGGACAGAGGAGCCTCTTAAAGAAGAAGATACAGGTCTGTGAGAGCCAGAAATCTTGCTTGTTTGTAGGTGACCAAATACTTATTTTCCACCATAATTTGCAAATAAATTCATTAAAAATCTTACAATGTGATTTTCTGGATTTTTTCCCCCTCAATTTGTCTGTCATAGTTGAAGTCTACATATGATGAAAATTACAGGCCTCTCTCATCTTTTTAAGTGGGAGAACTTGCACAATTGGTGGCTGACTAAATACTTTCCCCCCCCACTGTATATTGATATCGATATAGACTTTTTCCATCATTAATACATATCAAGTTTAGTTGCCTTCTTGACCCTGAAACTATCTATTGTAATCACTATGGCAACAATCAGAAATGTAGCTAGGCACCAACTGCCAAAGTCAAATGTCAAAAGTGTTATTTAACCTATTTAAATAATACGTTAACGTTAACAATGTCCAGAATTGTTTTTCTTCTCCATAATAGGCTACAAGCACATAGCTAGTAACGTTACAACAGTAAGTTAACGCGTTAGTCGTTAACGTTAGCTATGACTGTTACAATTAGCGAAAGTAAGATAGATACCATCAAATATATTGTTTTCAACATAAAACAACTATGTTGTGCATTATAGTGAGCTTCATTGTGTATAGGCAAACATACCTGCAGGTCCATTTGGTGAACACTTAATTAATATTTCCAGGGCAATACCAAGTTGTCTAAAGTGCAAAGTCCTCCAGTTTCATCTAAAAAATGTTGTGTCCCAGAAAAAAAAAACTTTATTGAATTCTAGAATGTGGAACATGGAACTAAAATCAAATTTGATGTTACAGAGCCAATTCCAATTGAACTCTATCTTTTTTAATGGAATGTATAGGACATACTTACCATAATGGAAGCACTGTTTTGGAACATGTTTATCATTCTAATCCACAGATATCACACACTCTTTTGAGATCTCTCAATCAGTATGATCTCTCAATCAGTGTATTTGGTATAAGCCTACTACTCCTGTGTCTAAACTTGTAATTTCTAAACCAAAGAAGTCTATAAATGTTGCATATTGCTCTCTCGTGAGGGGTTTGTGATTTGTGATGTTGTTCAGTCCATTTGAATACGGATTATTCCCCTGTTTGCTCCAGATAAATTAGTCTACAAAATAACTGTGCAGGGTAAATGCATTGCATCTGATACTGGTCATGACTATGTAAAATATTCAATAGTTTAAATTCCTGCCTTGAAAAGTAACACCTTCAATAACAATTAGGCGACAGTGGTTTTTAATCTATAATAAATAAATGACAAGGAAATGCAGAAATTCACATTGATGTATCAAAATCATACAACCCTTTTGAACAATCAACAAACGTGCAAAATGATAGCTTTCAGCGTGAGATACGTTGTGATCTGAAGTTTGTTCTGGAGAGTCTGGTTCCCATATTCAAGTATGAATGATCCAACACAGGGCATTCTGAATCTTCACCTACTCTGCTCAAAATAATCCTGAAGAAGAATACAAAATAATCCAAGGGAGATTATTACACCCATCCACAGGGTTTTATAATCACTGGTCCTAGCTGCAGCCCAGGCCTTGTGTCTTGGTCATCATCGTAATGGCTTTGGGCTTCAGTTGTTTTACTCTGTTCTTTATATCCACCTCAGTCTGCTTTAGTGAAGTCTTCAACAGATAGGCAACCCTTCTGAAGCCTTCCTCCAGGCCCACACCAGTCCTCCCAGAGCACGGCTGGACAAACCAGTCCCTGTTCCCACATACCCTCCTCAGGTCCAACCTGTGGGTGATCTCCAGTGGGCTTGCTGCCCCGGGGAGGTCCTGCTTATTGGCCAGCACCACCAGAGGAATGCTCTTTAGACTCCCGCTCCTCAGCACCTGTTGGGTGATGTAAAAGATCAGTATACACATTATTATACCCCATAACAACATGGCCCAATATGACAAGAAAGAGATCTGGTTATGACCTGTCATTTATTTACATTCATGCATCAGGATTAGGCTGAAAAACGTTGTATTATGAATAAATAATGACCTGATGGAGCTCTTTCTTTGCCTCCTCCAGACGCCTGCGGTCCCAGCTGTCCACCACAAACACCAGGGCCTCTGTGCCCAGGTAGTGGTGCTTCCAGTGGGGTCTCATCCTCTGCTGGCCTCCCACGTCCCACACGGTCAACCCCGGACCCCTCGCCTCCGTCTCCAGCATCTCCACGTTGAAGCCCACGGTGGGCACGGTGATGACAGACTCGTTGTACTTGAGCTTGTAGAGCAGGGTGGACTTCCCCGAGCTGTCCAGGCCCAGCATCACAATCTGAGCCTGCTGAGGGTGCTTAGACCCATGCAGTCCCATGCTCAACCCAAACACAGGTCCTATTGTCTGGAGAAAAAGACTGGCTTGTGTTATTGTTGCTGCCTCAGCTCTGTGCAGCAATGCCCTGCCCGCAGTTACTTTGTGCTCTGCTCTGTAAGCTCTGTCTTTTTCTGAGCTCTGGCTGTGATGAATCCCCTCTTATAAAGTCAGGGTGCAAATCAGAATGGCTTATGTACACCGAGGAGGCAGCAAGACCACTCCCCCCGTTGTAGTAAGATGCCCAAGTCATTATGCAGCTTTTGGTAAAGCTTTTTATGTCTCTGGGGATAGTTCAGGTTAGAGCCTCTCAATGTCTTATACTACTATTGCACTGCTGAAAGAGTAACCTGCTTCAGACCATCACACTCAGCAGGAAGTCCTTTTTAGGGCGTAGGTGGGTTTGTGTTCCTTCCTGAGTGACCGTCTCCTGGAAATGGCGTCAGAGTGACAGTTTTAGACCAGAAGGTCATGGGTACTCATCTGGCCTGTATGGTTAGTGGGTTACATCATACAGTTACAGTTGAAGTCGGAAGTTTACATACACTTACAGTGGGGAAAAAAAGTATTTAGTCAGCCACCAATTGTGCAAGTTCTCCCACTTAAAAAGATGAGAGAGGCCTGTAATTTTCATCATAGGTACACGTCAACTATGACAGACAAAATGAGAATTTTTTTTCCAGAAAATCACATTGTAGGATTTTTAATGAATTTATTGGCATATGATGGTGGAAAATAAGTATTTGGTCAATAACAAAAGTTTCTCAATACTTTGTTATATACCCTTTGTTGGCAATGATACAGGTCAAACGTTTTCTGTAAGTCTTCGCAAGGTTTTCACACACTGTTGCTGGTATTTTGGCCCATTCCTCCATGCAGATCTCCTCTAGAGCAGTGATGTTTTGGGGCTGTCGCTGGGCAACACAGACTTTCAACTCCCTCCAAAGATTTTCTATGGGGTTGAGATCTGGAGACTGGCTAGGCCACTCCAGGACCTTGAAATGCTTCTTACGAAGCCACTCATTCGTTGCCCTGGCGGTGTGTTTGGGATCATTGTCATGCTGAAAGACCCAGCCACGTTTCATCTTCAATGCCCTTGCTGATGGAAGGAGGGTTTCACTGAAAATCTCACGATACATGGCCCCATTCATTCTTTCCTTTACACGGATCAGTCGTCCTGGTCCCTTTGCAGAAAAACAGCCCCAAAGCATGATGTTTCCAACCCCATGCTTCACAGTAGGTATGGTGTTCTTTGGATGCAACTCAGCATTCTTTGTCCTCCAAACATGACGAGTTGAGTTTTTACCAAAAAGTTATATTTTGGTTTCATCTGACCATATGACATTCTCCCAATCCTCTTCTGGATCATCCAAATGCACTTCAGACGGGCCTGGACATGTACTGGCTTAAGCAGGGGGACACGTCTCGCACTGCAGGATTTGAGTCCCTGGCGGCGTAGTGTGTTACTGATGGTTGGCTTTGTTACTTTGGTCCCAGCTCTCTGCAGGTCATTCACTAGGTCCCCCCGTGTGGTTCTGGGATTTTTGCTCACCGTTCTTGTGATCATTTTGACCCCACGGGGTGAGATCTTGCGTGGAGCCCCAGATCGAGGGAGATTATCAGTGGTCTTGTATGTCTTCCATTTCCTAATAATTGCTCCCACAGTTGATTTCTTCAAACCAAGCTGCTTACCTATTGCAGATTCAGTCTTCCCAGCCTGGTGCAGGTCTACAATTTTGTTTTTGGTGTCCTTTGACAGCTCTTTGGTCTTGGCCATTGTGAAGTTTGGAGTGTGACTGTTTGAGGTTGTGGACAGGTGTCTTTTATACTGATAACAAGTTCAAACAGGTGCCATTAATACAGGTAACGAGTGGAGGACAGAGGAGCCTCTTAAAGAAGAAGTTACAGGTCTGTGAGAGCCAGAAATCTTGCTTGTTTGTAGGTGACCAAATACTTATTTCCCACCATAATTTGCAAATAAATTCATTAAAAATCCTACAATGGGATTTTCTGGATTTTTTTTTCTCAATTTGTCTGTCATAGTTGACGTGTACCTATGATGAAAATTACAGGCCTCTCTCATCTTTTTAAGTGGGAGAACTTGCACAATTGGTGGCTGACTAAATACTTTTTTCCCCCACTGTAGGTTGGAGTCATTAAAACTCGTTTCTCAACCACTCCACAAATTTCTTGTTAACAAACTATAGTTTTGGCAAGTCGGTTAGGACATCTACTTTGTGCATGACACAAGTAATTTTTCCAACAATTGTTTACAGACAGATTATTTCACTTATAATTCACTGTATCACAATTCCAGTGGGTCAGAAGTTTACATGCACTAAGTTGACTGTGCCTTTAAACAGCTTGGAAAATTCCAGAAAATGATGTCATGGCTTTAGAAGTTTCTGATAGGCTAATTAACATCATTTTAGTAAATTGGAGGTGTACCTGTGGATGTATTTCAAGGCCTACCTTCAAACTCAGTGCTTCTTTGCTTGACATCATGGGAAAATCAAAAGAAATCAGCCAAGATCTCAGAAAACAAATTGTAGACCGCCACAAGTCTGCTTCATCCTTGGGAGCAATTTCCAAACGCCTGAAGGTACCACGTTCATCTGTACAAACAATAGTACGCAAGTATAAACACCATGGGACCACGCTGCCGTCATACCGCTCAGGAAGGAGACGCGTTCTGTCTCCTAGAGATGAATGTACTTTGGTGCGAAAAGTGCAAATCAATCCCAGAACAACAGCAATGGACCTTGTGAAGATGCTGGAGGAAACAGGTACAAAAGTATCTATATCCACAGTAAAACAAGTCCTATATCGACATAACCTGAAAGGCCGCTCAGCAAGGTAGAAGCCACTGCTCCAAACCACCATAAAAAAGCCAGACTACGGTTTGCAACTGCACATGGGGACAAAGATCGTACTTTTTTGAGAAATGTCCTCTGGTCTGATTAAACAAAAATAGAACTGTTTGGCCATAATGACCATTGTTATGTTTGGAGGAAAAAGGGGAAGGCTTGCAAGCCGAAGAACACCATCCCAACCGTGAAGCATGGGGGTGGCAGAATCATGCTGTGGGGGTGCTTTGCTGCAGGAGGGACTGGTGCGCTTCACAAAATAGATGGCATCATGAGGAAGGAAAATTATGTGGATATATTGAAGAAACATCTCAAGACATCAGTCAGGAAGTGAAAGCTTGGTCGCAAATGGGTCTTCAAAATCGACAATGACCCCAAGCATACTTCCAAAGTTGTGGCAAAATGGCTTAAGGACAAGAAAGTCAAGGTATTGGAGTGGCCATCACAAAGCCCTGACCTCAATCCTATAGAAAATGTGTGGGCAGAACTGAAAAAGCATGTGCGAGCAAGGAGGCCTACAAACCTGACTTATTTACACCAGCTCTGTTAGCAGGAATGGGCCAAAATTCACCGAACTTATTGTGGGAAGCTTGTGGAAGGCTACACAAAACATTTGACCCAAGTTAAACAATTTAAAGGCAATGCTACCAAATACTAATTGAGTGTTTGTAAACTTCTGACCCACTGGGAATGTGATTAAATAAATAAAAGCTAAAATAAATCATTCTCTCTACTATTATTCTGACATTTCACATTCTTAAAATAAAGTGGTGATCCTAACTGACCTAAGACAGGGTATTTTTACTAGGATTAAATGTCAGGAATTGTGAAAAACTGAGTTTAAATGTACACTGCTCAAAAAAATAAAGGGAACACTTAAACAACACATCCTAGATCTGAATGAATGAAATAATCTTATTAAATACTTTTTTTCTTTACATAGTTGAATGTGCTGACAACAAAATCACACAAAAATTATCAATGGAAATCAAATGTATCAACCCATGGAGGTCTGGATTTGGAGTCAGCCTCAAATTTAAAGTGGAAAACCACACTACAGGCTGATCCAACTTTGATGTAATGTCCTTAAAACAAGTCAAAATGAGGCTCAGTAGTGTGTGTGGCCTCCACGTGCCTGTATGACCTCCCTACAACGCCTGGGCATGCTCCTGATGAGGTGGCGGATGGTCTCCTGAGGGATCTCCTCCCAGACCTGGACTAAAGCATCCGCCAACTCCTGGACAGTCTGTGGTGCAACGTGGCGTTGGTGGATGGAGCGAGACATGATGTCCCAGATGTGCTCAATTGGATTCAGGTCTGGGGAATGGGCGGTCCATAGCATCAATGCCTTCCTCTTGCAGGAACTGCTGACACACTCCAGCCACATGAGGTCTAGCATTGTCTTGCATTAGGAGGAACCCAGGGCTAACCGCACCAGCATATGGTCTCACAAGGGGTCTGAGGATCTCATCTCGGTACCTAATGGCAGTCAGGCTACCTCTGGTGAGCACATGGAGGACTGTGTGGCCCCCCAAAGAAATGCCACCCCACACCATGACTGACCCACCGCCAAACCGGTCATGCTGGAGGATGTTGCAGGCAGCAGAACGTTCTCCACGGCGTCTCCAGACTCTGTCACGTCTGTCACGTGCTCAGTGTGAACCTGCGTTCATCTGTGAAGAGCACAGGGCGCCAGTGGCGAATTTGCCAATCTTGGTGTTCTCTGGCAAATGCCAAACGTCCTGCACGGTGTTGGGCTGTAAGCACAACCCCCACCTGTGGACGTCAGGCCCTCATACCACCCTGATGGAGTCTGTTTCTGACCGTTTGAGCAGACACATGCACATTTGTGGCCTGCTGGAGGTCATTTTGCAGGGCTCTGGCAGTGCTCCTCCTGCTCCTCCTTGCACAAAGGCGGAGGTAGCGGTCCTGCTGCTGGGTTGTTGCCTTCCTACGGCCTCCTCTACGTCTCCTGATGTACTGGCCTGTCTCCTGGTAGCGCCTCCATGCTCTGGACACTACGCTGACAGACACAGCAAACCTTCTTGCCACAGCTCGCATTGATGTGCCATCCTGGATGAGCTGCACTACCTGAGCCACTTGTGTGGGTTGTAGACTCCGTCTCATGCTACCACTAGAGTGAAAGCACCGCCAGCATTCAAA